TCTATAATCTACATATTTTAATTATAAAAATTGGCAGTTTAATTTATATTAATCATTTATTTTTTTATTGATAATAAAAAAAAAGATTATTAACTCATATTTTGAGTTTTAGCAAATTAGTATAGATTTGAAATGTGATAATTTGATTTTTAGCAAATTAGGTCTATTTTAGCAGGAGCAAAAAGTACTTAAATTCATGCAGATCAGTTATGAGTTATATATGTGATGTCCGGGGTCCTGGTAAGACAATTATGATCATTAATTTGTTAATGGGTGACAAGAAAGCAAAAGCAGATGGCAATCGGTATGTACTATGTGATGCAGTACTTTTAGTTGGCAGATATCTTGACAAGCTGAAGTGGGCAGTTGTACGTGATTTTTTTGAAGAGGAGGAGATCCTATTCACTGCAGTAATCCATAGTGAAATTCCAGAGATTAACTCCTTTGATTCATCCTAAGCTACTGTAGTAATCTTCAAGGATCTAATGGATGCATCTAAAAAAACATAGGACCTTATTACCGGATACTTCACACATGGATGATCCTAGTTTGATCTCAGTTCAATCTCAATTCAATCCAAGTTTGAACCCAATTCGATATCAGTCTGAATCCAATTTAATTACAGTTCGATCTAAGTTCAGTCCATATGGATAAAAAGCTGTATCTAAAGCAAAAAAAGATGAATACTTGATTGAATTTGCTCAGGTATTTCCATCCCCTAAAGAATATAAACATTTACTTGTACCTGGTGTCTTAGCCAAGAATGCAGATATCTGGATTAAATATGTCTTTCGGGAAGCTTATGGACTCTCTGGTAAAACCTTGGGAGGTGACTTTCAGACTTCTTAGCAAAAGTATAGGGTAGGACTGCAAAGACTGAAACTTTGAAAGCTGAGACCATGAAGGAGTTATTCTCCCGATATGAAGCCCTGAAGTCTAGTCACCCTCTGGATAATAAAAAAATAATAGAAGGTATTGAAGTCCTTCTACAGATCTTTTCTAAGGGCCATATGGACTGTTAAGCATTACAAGTAGGAATTAATAGTATCTTGTGAGAATATCAAGTAATTCGTCTGCAGAAGCCCTAAGAATCATAGCACTTTTTTTAGCCCTCAAAGTCAATCCTTAACATCTTAGCCTTCAACCAGGATCCCGAAGAATACATATACAACTCAGATCCAGACCCAAAATATTAATATAACTTTATACGCCTAATTTTATTAGAAGATTTATACAAAATCATCACATAAGTTCAAATTTTATTATAAATTATACAATTATAAATCTGAGTTTATATAAAAAAAAATTTTTAAAGAAAAATTTCAAATAAATTTTATTGAAAAATTCTAACAAATACTTAAAAAATTTCTTAAAAAACAACTATTAAAAAATAACTTAAATAAAATTTTTAAACAAAATTGCATGTTAAAATTTTAAATACCTTATAGATATTAATGCCCAATATGTATAATATAGTAAGTTTTATGCAAAAATTTGGGTGTATACTACAAAATAAAAGAAAATACATTTTGTTATGTATCTTACCACCCAGTGATCGTAAAAAGATGAAACACAGCTCGTTGGATTCGTCTTGACAAGACGAATCGAATGATAGTAGTTTCGTGTTTCTAGGTGTGATAGGTGTTGAGCTATACCACACATCGGCACTTTGTATTTTCGTCCACTGTGCATTTTTACATTTTATCACATAACTCGGCATCTATCGCACCTAGAATTATGAAACTACCACCATTCGACTCGTCGTATTGAGACGAATGTAACAAGCTGTGTTTCGTTTCTCTACGATCACTGGATGCCGAGATATGTAATAAAAAGTATTTTTTTTTTTAATTTTGTAAATGAATTTTAAAAAAATTTCATCATTTTTATTAAAAAAATGTCTTTAAACGAACCCCTAAAAACTTCTCAAACAAAAAACAACTTCTATTAAAAAATATTTCAAGTGTTTTTTAAAACAAATAAAAAAACTCTTTATTAAAAAATATCTTAAAAATTTCTTAAAACAAAAAATAAAAAAAATAAAAAATTTTAAACGTATATAAAAAAAATTTTAATATCCGTTATATAAAATGAAAATCTTACTTATAGTAAAAATCATTATTGTTATACAAATAAAAATCTGACTTTTTGCGTAATTGCTATTTGGTTATACAATTTCAAACATATGACTTATTAAGAAATTACATAGTAAGTTTATACAAAATTGGATCCCAGTATTATATGTATTCTTCGGGGTCCTCTTCAACCCTATTGCCCCTAAAGCACGAGAAGCAAAATTCTTAGTCATTGGATTACTTATATGATTTACATAGTTCTCATAGAATATAGTGAAAAGCTCGTTGATACCATCTGGATATGTATCCCTTAGAAATTGATATAAGGCAATTTCTCTACTATCACAACTTATGGCTATAAGCTATTCGAGAAACCACTTTCTAATATCTTCATATAGCTCTCCATTATGACACGCCGCCCATAGAATATTAAATAAAATATCGTATGTTGTCACTAACGTGTTGACTGTTGAGTTCGAATAATATCTATGCTTGGTTTAAAATAAAAATTATTAAAAATTAATTACAAAAAATAATTTCTTACTGAAATTTTAATTTGCGATAGTTTTCCCAAATTTAATATTTTTTAATAAATCATTAATTAAAAATGACATTACTAAATCACACCACTGGTGCCCAACACCGCAGGTGTTTAGCACCACATTTTTTTTTATAATACATTTTATAATAATTGTAAAATCGTGCGAAACTAAATTATGCATTGTAAATTATTTATAAATTATTTAATAAAATAAATTTTATGAATCATTCAAATCATATTTTATTCAAAAAAACTATGCAACACATTCTTCATCTTTTTTATTAGGACAAGTACGTGAATTATGATCTTTTTGATTACAAACACAGCATTTTCTTACATTGCTTCTGCTATTTTCTCCTATACCATCATCTAATCCAGGATCTGTATTATCTTCATTTGACTTGTCCCTTAATACTGTACAAATTTGTTTATGAACTTTTTCTTAATTTTCTTTATCACTATCATCCTGTTTATTTTGATTAAAATTTTCGGATATCACTCTTTTTTTGCCCTTATTTGTAGTATTTGTTTGATTTGAATCTTTGGGTTTTCGTCCTTTTTTCCTGACGTGAATTGGATTACTAATGGTATTAGCAAAATCATTGCAATCACCTCCATTTATAACTTGTTCTGAAATTTCATCCTCAATCTCTTTGGCAAATCTTGCATGTATTTCATAAAGTTCATCTATTCTACCAGCTGCAATTGCCAAGTTTAACGTTTTCTTCATTATACTAACTGAAATCCTTTTCCCCATTGTTATTTATGTGTCATTTCTTGACGAACTTCTTCTGTGAAAACATAACTACCACGAATACTTTCTAGATGTGAGAAATCCATTTGCATAATATATTCAATTGTGTCAAATTTATCATTTGAACATACTGAAAAAGCTGGTTCATTTAAAAAAGCTGAATTTCCTTCCATAATTAATGCATCTGCATACCAGCGTTATGATATAAGACCAATATGAAATTTAGCATTTGGGAATAATAACATTAATGCAAAAAAGTGACGACATACAAGACCACAATTGATTAGTGTTAAACATGTACACAAGTGTGCAGCATCGTCATACAATATAATAAAGTATTTACTTTTCCTGTCTATTGAAGAAATGCGCCAAAGTTCAGTAATTCTTTTCATGTCAAGATCTGTGATTAGCTGTTTGAGTTCAATTACACATGCATCAAACATGTCTTCTGAGAAAATTCCATTTGGTATTTCAGCAGTAAACTAAAGTACATGTAAATTTATAAAATAAAAGGTTATAGTAAGGAACCAGCAGGATAAAAAATAAAAAATAGTTAATACCTGCTTTTCAAGTTCATTCTCCAAATTAGTAATGCAGCATCGATAATGCATACTGCGATTTATTTCATGTCGCTGAAGTTTAAAAAGAGCTGGTGTTAAATAGCGTTGGTAATATATGTCAATTTTTTTATAGTAATGATCATGATAATCCTCTTCTCGGGATACAGGAAGTTTTCCAATTGTATCGTTGAGTTGTGCATATCAGCTTTCTTTTATGAGTAGTCTTTCAATAGTACGTTCAAGTTCCATAAGAGATGATGATCCATTAACGTTATTCTTAATTATACCATTATACGATTCAACACGTTGCGTACTCTGCAGACCTGCATTAAATGCACGATGTGTAAAATATAATGCCCAAGTTTCTCTACACTTATAAAGATGACGTTGCAAATAATTAGCGGCATCATCATACTTTTGTAATAATGCAGCCCACTTTTCTTCAAAAATAAACTCAACACGACTATTACGTGCATGACAGAAAACTGTAAAAAATTCTTTCCATTTCTCTTCACCATATTTACCAAGAAAATGTTTTTCCAAATTTTTTCGGATATGAAATAGGCAAAAATGATGCTTTATTGTTGTCCAAGTACTGCTTGCTGCTGCGACCATCGCTGGGTCAGCATCTGTGTAAAGTAATTTTGGTATCAATCTATTTGTTGCCTTAGAAATACTTGAAAATAACCATGAAAAAGTTTCTTTTATTTCGTCTGAAACAATAGCAGTTGCCGCAAGGCGGGAACGATTGTGATTATCTATCAGAATAACAATATACAGTATCATGAAGTAACGATTTGTTTTTGCTGTCGTGTCAAGTAAAACTACATCATGAAAACAACTCCACAGTTGTAGTTGACTAGGACTCATCCAACAAAGTCTTGTGAGATGATTATCTTGACCTTCAAAACACGCGTCCACATGAAAAGTTGGATTTTCTTGTTGTTGTTTCATAAGTTCAAGGTACATTGAACTTGCATCACTACTTGTATTATTTTGGTTTCAGATGGTTTGAACCATATTATAAATGTTTCGAGAATAGATGAACTTGTCTGGATATTTAACTTGCAAAACTTCTATAATTGCGCCAGTACGAACACCACAAGTTGCAAAAAGTTTTACATCATCATGCATCTCAGGAGTAAGCTTACAATAGTGGAATGCAACCATATTGATATTTTTTACAAGCGGATGATTATGTTCACCATTGATTTTCATGATATAAACAAGATTATCTCTTTTTCTGCAGTAAGCATTAATATAAAATTTGCAATCACCCGAATGATATCCTTTATCACGTTCTTCATTGATATGTGCTTCTTTTCGTGGTACATATGCTCGACCCTTTGTATATGCATAAGTACGGCGTCTAGGGAAACTGTTATGTTTATCCTTATCACTATGAGTAATTGTAAAAGCAAAACCTTATTCTAATCCATGCTTATCAAGCCACCTAGTACAAAATGATAAAAAATGTTAGTCTATTACAATACGACTGAAATTTGCACTTTATATTTGAAAATGTGAAGTATAAGAAATTTGAACTGTAACTATTGTTTTCTAACAATAAATTAGGGATTGGAACCGTCCAAAAAAACCTTAACCGGTTAAAAACCGGTTAACCAAGGGTCTTAACCAGTTAATAACCGGTTAATATCAAAAATATTTTAAAAACTTTTTTTACTGCAAATTGTACCAATTTTTGATTTTACTTGCATATTTAGTTATAGGAAGACTATGTATCACTAAAATTATTATAAATAAATAGAAAAAAATTCAGCATTAAAACTTCAAGTTTAGGAACACGTGGCCGCAATTTACATGTCTCTGGACCGCATTATATAAATCTGACTAGAATTATGGTAAATATAGTTTTAACCGGTTAACCGATTTTCAAAATCCTTTAACCGGTTAACCGTCTTAACCGGTTCCAATCCCTACAATAAATTTAGTTCAATTATATCGCTAGTGTACAAAAACAATGTTTTTGACTGTTTATTTTCGCATTTTTTGTGAAATTAGCCAGTATAATATGCTACATTTAGTTACTTACTCGTCAAGTTTTTTCCAATCTGTAAAAGCCATTTCCGGTGTTACTTGATACAATTTTTCTTGATTTTCAACTTCATTTTCACCAAAAATTCGTTAGAAGACTGTTCATTATCAGTTAAAAGGTCTTCCAGAATTTCAGTTTCATCAAGTTCGTTAAGTTCGTTAAGTTTGTTAGACATTATTAAGCGGAAAAGGGAAATAAAATATCCGATAGAAGGGTGGAGAAACGGATAAAATTATCTGATAAACAAATAAAATACTAACATGTTTTATTTCATGATGTTATAATATAATCAAATAATCACATGATCACGTGATGTGGTGTTTTCAACACCAATGGTGCAATTTATAATTTTCGAAAAATAATACACTGAGTTTAATAAAAATTGAAAAGATACTATTGACAGATAATTAATAAAACATTGAAAAAAAAAATGAAATTTCATCAAAAAAAAATTTTTGTTTATGTATTTATATAAAATTATGAAATGTAGTACAAAATTAACACTCACCGTTAGTGAAAATAAAATAAAAATTAATTATAAATTCAATATATAATATTTTAAAAAGTTATATAAATATGAAAAATAAGTAACTAAAAACTCTTAGTATTTTAAAATAATACCAAAAATATGCAATTTAATTATCTTACATAGTATATAATTTTCTTAAAATTAAGCATTATAAAATTCTTACATCATAAAACTTTTCTATGTTGGCTAAGCACCTTGGTACCTTACATATATAAGCATTTTCTGGGATCCTGGTACAGTACTACCTATTTGGTAGTCGTGATACTATTCTCCTAATGTGAGCAATATAAGCATATACATCTTGACGAGACCTTGGATAGGGTGGCCGTTCATGAATTCTTATTCTACTACAAGTCTCATAATATTGCACAGTATTCTGAATGCGCTTAGCCCATGTGTAAAAACTTTCATGGTCTTGTCTACCTAATCTGTCAGTATTTTGCATTTGGGTATCTCATAAGATTACATGTGCTATAAGTTTATTCAATTATGCCATCACGGTATGTCAGTAAAAAATATACCTACTGCAAATCCAACCATATCCTTAGCAATCATGTCCAGCTCAGATAACCTTGTTTGCATTTTTCACATGGCAGTATCCTGCGGTTTCAAACTTGAGAGCCTTCAATGCTTTAGATGCATTTTCTGGATAAGTGATAAGTGCAGGACTATCTGGCTGCTTCTCTAGAATAAATCCATCTGTATAGATACGTCGTATTTTATCCTTATATGGTTCTAATAACTCTGAAGTTGTCTTCTGTCCATGTGCTAGTAGGAATGGAGCGATCTTGGGATATTCCCCCTTGAAGGGATTACCTGGATTTGTAAACTGAAATCTCTACTGATCTGATTCTACTGGTATGATGGAGTCAAGTGTGGCCTTCCAGAAATTTGAATGAGTCTGTTTGATCTGTGATGAGTGTCTTGTAATTGCGTTTCCTCTGGCAGAGTGCTCCCCATAACGTATTGAGGACTCTCTTTGCTACATGACCAGCCACGCCACCCTGGTTCTTTATCTTGAAGAGGAAGTGGACATACTTACCAAATATTACAGTCCCAGGGATTTTTTGCTTCTCTGTCATATATCAGAGCATTGGGTTTTCCGTCTTGAATTAACTGTATGTCTAACCCAAGTTTCTTTGCACATTGTAAGTCGATGAATGTGTAGATTCCCCTCTTATTCTGTCAGAAGAGAATGTTATTTCCACTTACCTTAGCATGTAATTTATACCATTTATTAAAATAAATCTTTTATTTTTACTTATATCAAAGCTTATATAGTTATTTTACTTTAACTTTATATATGAGTTATCATTATATTCAAACATTTGTATTAATTGAATTTTTATCTAAGATGTATTTACTTCAATTTGATTTATAATATTTTCTTTTTTATAGATAAACTCATTTGCCATATTACTTTTAAATATCAATTATTTTTGAACAAGTTACCTATTTTTAAAAATTAAAGTTCTTTCATTCAGATTTATATATTGATATTTTTATATATCACTCTATTTTATCTAAATCATTATAAAGATTTGATGCATATTTATATAAATAAAAGTAATATATAACTATATAGCATATTTTATTTTCTTACTAGTATTATCTTATTTAAAAATCAGAAATGTTACTAAATTTTTAAATTTAAATTTTACTTCCTTTTTTATATAACTTTTATCTTTACCATATTGGAATTTTCTTCTGCTAATTGGCTGCTCACAGTTTAATATGTAGTTTTATTTTTACACAATTTTCTTTATATTTTTTGATTTAAATATACTGCACTAATCCATATATAAGATTTTAATATCTTTTCTCATAAACTTTGTAAATAAATTTAAAACTTATATATTTATGATAAAGGATACTGAAAATTGTCTGTTAATATTATACATGCTCTTAAAATATAATTATGATTTTTTAATTTGCTAAAAAATTTATATTTACTTTTCTTTTTTTTACTACTTCTATATCATGTGATATTAGAACTAATTGAATAAAAACTTGATTACTTTGGTTTAATTACTACTTGAGTTTTATAAATTTTCTAATAATATTACTGAATAATAGTATTTATTGCAAAACTGGATATTAATTTTAATAATAAATGTACTTTTCATTGACTGGTTAATATAGTTAGTACGGGATCCTTCCAAAATCCCGATAACCATAATCCCGATGTGATAAAATCTTGACACTCCTATTCCCGACTAAGACAATATCCCGAATGATTAAAATACTGAAAGAATTATATCCCGAATAGTCCAAAATCTAGAATTCAAAATTCCCAAAAGTTCAAGTTACTGATGAGTCAAAATCCAGACAATAAAGAAAAGAATTTTTTTCATGTGACCATTTATGTAATAATATCGTAGTGATTGCACAATTGTTAATAATTTGCATAATTTGCCAAGGAGTTATTATGTCAATTACTACTGCGTGATCTTACTATATATTATACTGTAACATGTAAGTCATAAATCAAAATTGCAATTTTTTATCATTTAAATTGGAAATAGTGCATATGTATTGTATATATGATTGTATTAATTGTCACAAATTATATAATCAGTAGGAAATAATCTTCCTAGTAAACAAAAATCAAAGAGATACTCAAAATTATAATATTGTGTCAGGATTTTGACTCATCAGTAACTTGAACTTTCAGGAAATTTAAATTCTGGATTTTAAACCATTCGGGATATGATACTTTCAGGATTTTGATTGTTCAGTATATTGTCTCTGTCAGAAATACGTTCCTCGGAATTTTATCATATCGGGATTGTGCTTGTCGGGATTTCGTGGTAAACCCAGTTAGTACATCTACCATAGTTAAAATATATTACAAAAGATAATTTAGTGTACTAATAATAATTTTTTTAATTGTTAATTTTAATTTAATATCTTTTTAGAAGACTATATAGTTTTTCTTTTTAATTAATTTTATTTTATTTCTTTAATTAAATAATTGTATTTTTTTAAATTGTTGATACTTAAAATAATTAATAAAAATTAAAGGCATTATACTATGTTTACAGAAAAAGTTACTTTCTGAATTGTATATATAATGTCTGAAATTCTATATTGAAAAAATTGCTTTATTTAATATTATTAGTAATATGGGTAAAATATCTGAACATAATAGTTCTGTCAGTCAAAATGTACCAAATTACTATTTGAAATACATTAATTGGAATTGGAAATAATAATAATTAAAGGTAAAAAATCAAATTTTTTACTTCTATAATAAAGTTAATAAAACTAATATGGGAAAATTATCACAGTTTAAAGACTTTTAAATGTTAATACACTAAACCAAATAACAACAGATAAAATTATTATTATTACAGTTGCAATCTATGACAACAGATTATTATTCAATCTAAAGGAATTCCATGATAATGTATAAAAAAAAGAAATCAAGCATGAGAAATTATTTATTTGATAGAGTTGTGACAGATCATATGGCAAACTTCTTATAAAAGGAGTGATTCCTATAATGATTCCTAATTTGCAAATAGTACACAATTGGTTCAATTATTTCTTCTTTTTATTTTAATTTTTTAACTTAGAATTAATTCTTAATTCTTCATTTTAATAATTTCAAATTGCAAGAGTTTTCCCTTTCTTTTAATTATTCTTGAAGTTTTCTAATCAAATTATTAATTTCAAAATATGAGAGTTAACCTTTCTAAACTATTTTTTGATATTGCAAAATCAAATTATTATTTTTCAATTTGTGATAATTTCCTTCTTTTTATATTTTTTAATATTGTATTTCATTATAAAATATCATAACAATAAAATAAAATAACATTATTTCACCCTAAAACCCATAAAATAATTAAAGATTATACCTTTATTTCATATTTCATATTTAAGATTAATAAATCAAAACCAGTGAAAGATTGTTATGTACATGCTAATTCATGACGGTCATTGAGTAATTAAAAATCGAGGGCAAATAATTTATTATTCGTAACTGTTTAGCAGTATTGTTACACGGCTGTGATGATTGAATCGCACTCAATAATGTTCAAATGATTACGGCATAGCCTGGGCTCCGCCCAATAATAGATCCAGGTTATTTGGTGATCGAAAATAAATGATATATGTGTTCTAACGTCACAGTAGGCATGAAGTACTGGATTGCAAGAAGCAGTATTTTAGTAATCGAAGATGAGACGAGTAATCTTAGATTCAGACAACAGAGGACATACATGTTCGATAGTGAAAAAAAATGACCTGATCATAGGTATGTGGAACACATCCTTTGGATATAGGTTGTACGGTAATTTGAAATTGGGACCCTGCAATCTGAATATTTACGAGTATATGTTCTTTTTTCTGTATGTGTTCCTTTCCGATTTTTACTCTTGCTATATTTTTGATATTGTCCCATTATATACTAATTGTTATCTATTACAATATTCACATTACGAAAGTAATGCCCTATCTGTTATCAATAATATTTTTTTATAATATGTTTCACGTAGTATAAATAAAGTTTAACACTTGAAATCATTGCCAATAATATTCTTATGTCAGTTAATACATGGTAACATTTTTATTTCACAAGTAAAAGTTTTCTCATAAATCGATGTATTTCATGTTACGAAAATAAAAAACAGTACAGAACACATATGCGAGTAGAACACGATCTCATTAATGTCTAGTACAGTAATCGCTCAACTTTTTTGTATTTTACTATGCCACATGATCACATTGTTTTGAGACCGTGACCCGAATGACACTGTCGCTCTTTCCGGATGTTTTTCACATATGTTATTGATCATTTAGCTTAATTGTCTGCTACGCCTTACCTTAGAACTAATTTTTGTTTACTACGGTACGCGACAAATAAATAATTAATGAACTAGTATCAAATCATGTGACTGAAAATTTCCAAGACCTCGAATGCGACCCCAAAAACGATTTCTTCCGGAAATGATCAGAATCTCAGACACTTCATCAGAAACCACTAAAGTTGGAGAGTGCACTGCAATCATTGCGCAATGAAGTACTACAAAATTCAGTCCTCTATCTAATACGTATCCTTTGGAGTAATAATTTCCTAAGTTTTCGATTACTAAAAAACTATTACTGTTTTCTTATTCATTCGAGTTCTTATCATTAATACTACATGTGTAGTGTACTAATATGTGCCCTCCTTTGTGCTCGTAAATAATTACTCATATAGGCCATTAATTCGTGAAACTATCTAACAAAACATGTTAATATAAGCGAAGCTAGAAGTAAAATGTTAACGTCTGCGGATACCAATACTTGGAAAGTATATCTTTCTTAAAATATCGTCCACATGAATATGAACAGATATAATCTCATATTGTTTCCCTTTTCATAGGACAAATGCGATATCAAAAATTACGTTATCTTTTACCTTATTATTGAGTGTTATGAATTGTTCCGCAGATATTACATCTTATTAACGATAATTCTGATTATTGGGAAACTAAAAACAAGGATATAAATAGGCGCATGGGAGATGTGATCGATATATTATATCTTCGGGTATGGAGAACATGGTTAGATGACATCCAACTAATATACAATCTCAATCTCACTCAATGCACAAAAACGACGTATCATACGTTATATTATGTTGCTCACTAGTAGTATTCTTGTCTACCAAAATGCCTAATGTAGATTCTATTTATATGACGCATTCCATTGATAAAAATCTGAATTTTATTGTCTGATTACGTTTTTCTTGATTTGATTCTATCAACAATTATTATAAAACTGATCCCAATCTCAATAATTTTCTTTAACGAATGAAAAAGTTACACTAGCTGATGCTAATTAATATCTCTAAAGCGATTACTCAAAATAATAAACTACACAGCTATCTCTCTCATAGGCTTGTTTTGTTTGAGTTGTTTTGTATCTGTCTACACAGAGGCCTAAAACATAACGTTTCCATAATAACTTTAATGCGTGTGTCTAATGAGGTACAAAAAGAGTCTTTTCATTGGAATAACTTCTAATTATATTATTATTTTCGTTTTAAAATGAATGACTCGATAATAATCAACAATACGACACGGGAAATAAATTTGCAACGGGTGGCTTCATTGGCACTGTTGATGTGTTAGGATGTCTTATGCAATCTCAAAAAATTAACCTATAACCAAATTTCGAATTTCTTCTGGCGTTTCCTTGATCGAGCCTCCTTCAAAAACCGGTAGTTCGTTATAATCATCTGATAAGACTTATATTTATTTTAAAATTAAACTTCAAACTACTGAAGGTGAAGGCTGGTTTGGAATGGTAGGTACAATACTAACGCGCCTTCAAACAAAAAAGAACCTTCATCTTGGAAAGTATTATGAAGAGAAAGGTTGTTGCGCTATAAAACTTTGATAGAATCGGCACGTGAATATCCTAAATATCCCAATAGTACTTACACGTATCCACAACTATTTCCAGATCCATCTTGGGGTTAGCAGTTTAGATAATACTCAATAAATCCTCATCAGCAAAAAACTACACTCTGTCGCAATCTACACCATATCACTTTCTACCGGTGCACTATGGTCTATGGGAACTTGAACTTGCCTAGTCTAATTTTCTACGCATTTTACTTGTTGAAAATTTTCTCTTCAAGTCAGCACACGACCTATTACGATAAGCTGTTCATATTGCAACATACTACCAGCTATAGTATTCTTGTGATTCTCTTTATCTTGAAGTTGGTACCTATTAACCTGATTTATATCTTTATTTGGTTCATATCTAGAAGTAGTCGTGTGCACAGAGGAACTTTATATAAACAAAATTAAAATTAGAGATGACCATAAGAAAAAATCTTTAAAAAAATACCTTTAACTTTCTAAATCACCAACAAGAGCTGTCTTGACATTCATCTGGAAGTTAGAGGAAATCAAATAATAAGCAAATCATTGCAACATTTATAATAATATGATCTCATTTTTTGTTCACCTAAGCTAATAGTTCGCTGAGTGATAAGCGAACTTTGGACTCCGTAATCTCTTTACCCCAGTTCCAGATAATATTATTGATTTCTGACGATTTATTCTACATTGTTAGATAAATAAATAAGAACAGTTAGATATTTGGAAATCTACAGCAATATTTTTTGTACATGTCTGTAAGTAGAGTGTATACATGAAAGAATCACAAAGTGAGTAAAACCATCGCGTTTCTCCTCCCCATCAGGTTAGTAAGCACTCAACCCTTCCTGAAAGCACCGAGGGCGTAGTTATAAGCTGACAAGTCTTGTCTGACGCTCTCTCTTTCACATAAACTAGCATTTAGTTGTTTCTGTAACGATAGCGTCTTTCTACACTTTTTTATCAAATGCCCTGGAGAGAAAGTACAACTCAGTAGCTAACTATGTATGTGCTCGATCTTGTTGTTGATAGAGATTTGGATTTTTTCTTGCATCCAAAATATGTCAAACTCTGCATTTCGGAAGTTATAGGATATATAGCTGACGTAAAAGTGACAGCTCACCTTCATAATAAAGATTTGGCAGAATGGAAGCCATATTTCGTGTAGTGTTTGACTCGGACATTTAGAGAAAAGTAAGTAGTATGAGTTAAGAAACTTTATTTATTTTATTTATTTATTTTAAAGTCTATTACAAATAACGTGTATTTAGCACCGTAGTACAGTCTATATGTACAGTGGTGGCGGAAAAAATTAATGGGAATTGTCTCATGTGATTTTTGTGATTTTTGTAGGTTACAGTACATTTTTTAAGGGTATCAATACTTATTAATATATCATGTCATCTTCACTCTCTATTAATAATTCTATAGTTTAAATATGAATTTTATTAAATTAAGAGCATAAATTCCTATTAATACCTTTATTTACTTATGATATTTTTCCACATTTAGTGATTAAAATATAGATTATCGGAATCGTCTCATCAAGACGTTTCTAAGTGCAATAGATAAGGAATAATATGTCAAAATGTCAAAATATTAGCATTTTTCTTTATTATTTACTGTGTCACTTAAGATTTTAAGATGTTGTCTATATATGAAGCCAAAATTAAGTTAATATCGATTTTCAAAATGATCAAAATGGATAAAATTAATTCGATCTTAACTCTCAAAAGTCAAAATAGTTGAATCTAAGTCAAATTAAAATGTTAAATGACTATCTTCAATTATCATAAAAAATAACAAAAGTGGTTTGAGGATATATCAGCTTCTAATCATCCAAATTTAATGATCTATAGCTCATTTGAAAGACCTATTTAAGATGATTCAAATGATGATAAGATCATAGCGATAGCATTAATATTGACAGTACTATCATTGTTTAAAGATATAGATGTTTTGCTTATTATTACAGGATCTGCTGATTGCATTTAAATGATTTTTATATGATAAGATTCATCTCATCGAGAGGATTCTAAAGATATGTATTCATATCTGTAGCTATAATATTGACGAAATAATTATAGTTTGAAAATTTATGTTCTTTTATGATCATTTGAAAATCATGTAATATGACGTAATTTTGACCATTTTAACTTTAATTTAGGTTTTAATTTCACTTCATGTATAGTTTTTGAAGCATTATAACTTTACAAACTTTACCTTTTCATAAAATCTTAATTAGATCATAACATTCTTTAAATATAACCATAACCATTATACTGAAGTTTTGACAGCTAAACTATTATTTATTTTATATTTATGATATAAACAAACTAATTACATCTTATTTTGCTTTGGTGATATAAAGAAATCAAATTAGTTGGCCAATTTTTTCTTTAAAAAATCGTCAGTTTTTTCCGCCACCACTGTAGATCTCTAACTTTCATCCATCAAGACAGGACCACACCCTTCGTTTGAACTATGACTACGCTAGTTAATCAAATTTTTAGAAAAAAAAACAAGAAAAACCCATCGGAGCCCTATCAATCCGTATTTAAAATATTTTTTTTTACTTGTGATGATCCGTATAATCACATGATGAATTGAAGATCATCCAGGGTTCCTTACATACACTGGAGGCGTACGATATTAACGTACGGAACTGGCCGGAATTAACGCATGTGCACGTGCATAACTCCTAAACTCGGGCCACCAGGTGTACGTTAAGATTGTACACCCCCCGTAAGATAAGGACGCCCATCATCCAGTGATACGTGACTTAGATTCTGATCCAAGTCGGGGAGCTGTAGCGATTAATTTCGTAATTTTTTCCCTGTATTTACAGGAGAACTTACGGCGTCGTTTCTTCTTTTTTTTAGTACCTCCATTATGAAAATTGGTGAACTTTCCTGGTTTAACAGACCCATCGGATTAATTAGAATCTACTTTTTTCATAAATATTTGACCCGAATCTCGATCAAAAAAAAACAATTAGCTTGGTTCTTATTGTCTTTTTAATGTTTATTTAAGTAATTGAGTCCCAAAAATAGTTAAAAAATATTGATATCATGTCGATGTGTAATGAATAGATAATCTTAATGATTTTAATATTGTTTCAATTTGATAT